TCGGGTTCGTGGCCCCTATCAGGTTCAGGGTGTGCAGCCTAATCTACCTGGATCCCCGCTGGGTACTTCTCAGCGCTTGCTTTCCTCGTGGTGATTGCTACTACCACCTGATGCCTGGCGCACAACCCTCCATCATTCCTGTCCGTTCTGCCGCCCCACATTCTGTCATGCTGATCTCTGCAAATGGTCTCCGTTGTTACATCTGTGATTGGGGGTAGGCAGTACTCAGTACGCGTATCTCCAAGCAAGGCTATGACGATCCACCAGCTTCGTCAAAGGCCCCTTCGTCGCCAAGTCGCTGCTTCGTAGATTGCTTGTGCAATCATCGTAACAGATCGCACCATGTCATGCGACATTGCAGTCGGACCTTGGCTTGTTAGTTTTCTGCAGGGCGACCCACGGCCGCCGGAGGGCTCACTTCCCAATAAGCCGGGAGCCCCGCCGAATGGCACTGGCCAGGAAGTAACATGATCCAAGTCCGCGCGCGCTGGTGCGGGTGTGTCTGTGAGCCTGTGTACGCCAAAGATGCTTTACCCCGAAGCCGGTCCAGGCAAGGTGGAATGCATGACAGCTGAGACCAGGTGGGAGTGGCCCCCTTGGTGCCTCAACTTCAAGTCTCCGAACATCGAGGCCCAGTGATTTTTGGGAAGGAATGAAGATCCACGGAAGTGTCGACTCTGCATGCTGCATGCTCTTGTCTGTTGCAGTTTAGGACATGGAAGTCTGTGAGAGGGCGAGACTGTTGCACGCGGAAAAGCTGGAATGGATTCCACAAAAGACGACGGTGCCAGCAGACCCAGCCTTGACACAGGTCTGGGTTTTCGATGATGACTGCAACGTCGGCAGGCCTGCCAGTCTCCAACAACGAGCTTAACTTGTGTCGCCGTCATGGAACCCACCGATCGCAAGAGACTTCATGCTTAGGTGGGTATCCGCTCAGCCGCAAAGCCGTGTTGTTGACAAGGCGGGTCCCGAGCCTGCAGGGTTCCCCTAAACCCTAAACCCTCAACATCCCTAAACCCAGGCTTCAACAAAACTAATGGCGCCCATGTCTTGCAGTGGGAAGCGGAGACGTTTGTTTGACTTTTTTAGCGGAGATGATGGGCCTTTTTGTCATTCTGTCATTGTAGCCAGTGGGGCTGTCTAAGCATGCCTTCCGGCTTTCCATTGCTGTGGACCCGTGCAGACCGGCCGCGATGCATACCTTTGCGCCGAGTACCTGTGGGATGGCGAATACTATGTCCAGGAGCCACCTGCCGCTTTGTTCAGTCATTGTCGATGATGCAGGTAGCTTTTGTTGTCTTGTTGACTTCATTTCTTCCTGCAGCTCCTTTCCACCAGCTCCCTTTTGCCTTCCGTGCAGGACTTCGGACCCCAACATGCCAGGGTCTTAGCTGGACACGGTTGCCTGACGGTCGTCTGGGCCGTGCTTGCACTCGAGGTCCGCAAAAAGGGCGAGCCAAGAACCGTTTGGCAGGCACTCACGCAGGTGCCACTGGCTTTCCATCACGTGACACACTTGCCAGCTTGTCCCTGACTTTGAGCTCTCCGCACAGCCGTGCGCCGATGCCGGCACGTCTTGCGCCTAGAGATTTTCCTCCTCGCCAGTCCGAGTCCTACGGGAGCGCAGAGCTGGAGGCCACGAAGGCGCTGTCGCTGGACTCAGCAAGGAGATGTTGAGAGAACCTGCAAGCTTCCAGGTCTTCAAGAAAAAAGATGAGGACGACAGCCTAATGGACACCAAGGCACATCGTTGTTGAGACGTTCGTTGCTTCCAGAGGTTTCGGAGGACAGTGCCCAAAAGCACGACAGCAAAGAGCCCAACAAATCATCGAGACTGCACTGTCCTACTGAACCCCTCCGCACTTCTAGACTGTAGACCTTGTGGTCGGGGACCTCCCCGTCGAAAGTTGGAGCTCTTACTGCAGCAGCGCAAGCTTGAACTGGCAGGTCTTCAAGGGGAAGAAGGGAAATCCTGGGCGCGATATGGGAGGCCAGTATCGTGGTCTCGGATGTTTTGCGTTTGGACTCAACATGTGTGCTTTCTCTCGCAGCTAGCATTTTTGGAGAGTCTCGTGTGATGTTAGCAATCAGTGGATGGCTTGTCCCTTGTAGGAGAGCCACCCCAACCCCCCTTAGGCCCTTAGTGATCAGTAGCCCATATCATATCAACTTCACCAACCAAACGCTTCTTAATTATATTTATCACAACTACTACTTAACTCACCACTAGGAAATCTTTAAGAGCTGCTCCGGGTTCTCTCAGCCGCAACCGTTGTTCACAGAGTTTAGGTTTAGGATTGGGATCTAGGGCCTGGCATTCAAATTCAGGGTAGTTGCAGCTTCAATCCGAAGTGGCTACAGCATCGTCGTGCTGCAGCACTACTAGAATTGATTGTACGCACTTGTAAAGAGATTGAGCTTGTAGCAGGGCTTAAGACCTTAACAACTTTGCCACCCTCCCGCTTCGAGTTCTACACGGCAGTCCTGCCGCTGCACTAGTACTTGCGTTTGCTCATCTCAGGTGCTGAACAATCATTGACTGGAATGTGTACTAGCATCTGCAATTGGGCTGTTGTCTCAAAGTCAGCCGATGAGGTTGTATCTATGTAGGTTTGCTTTTCGCATGTGTTACTCTTGAGTTTATTTCTGCTTTTATCGAAACCCTGTGGCTCTGTCGCGTGCCCAGTCCTAGTAAATCTGCCGACAAGCCCAGCAGGGGTGTTTTCCCGCGCTCTCAGTGTTTCTGCGTGGAGGCTCTGTCATCCCCTCGGTGCAAAAACAAGTGCGAGGTTTGCCTGTAGCTTCTGCAAGTAGAGCGTGTGAACATGAAATGCTACAATCACGCTATAATGAAAAGATAACAACCTATTCAAATACTATAATACTATTATATGAGTATTACAATAATACTACACGAATACTCTAACATAATATCCAATCGGACAAGAATCAAGAAGCCCTGGCCGCTTGAAGGAGGCATTGGCCTGTTAGATGCCACTCGTCGGGACTTGGGCGCCGGCTCGGCTTCGTAGTGTGTTCTTGTGCTCTTTGTGAGGGTTTAGGGTTTAGGGTTAAGCCCCCGGACAGGTGGTATACTGCCCTTCTAAATTTTATTTCCGAAGACCACGTAGGGGCTGCTGCTGCTACTATCAAGTCACATTGCGGGGATTTGCGATTCTTCTACGTCGAACTGGACACCGCAATCACTGGAAGGCTCCTTTAGAGTTTTGGTTTGGCTTTCGGGGTCGTTCCGGTCTAATTTGGCTTGGCGCTTTGAGGCCTGAAACTTGCACTTGGAAAACATGTGTAACCAATGGAGAAACTTCCCGATTTGAAGATGAAGTCCCCACGCCAAGACATCTTCCTTGAACTGCAATTCAGCTACGCCGATCTTGGGCACAGGTAAAAGTCTGTCCCAAAGCCGAGGTGTGTGTGAACGGACCCAGGCTTTTGGCAGGGCTCGGAAGATTGTGCATGTTTCCGCAGTCCGCGATACGATCTGTTTGCTAAGGACGACTGAGCATGGACTACGCAAAGACGAGAATTCGCTGCTGTTGGGAAAGCAACACCAGTTTTACAAAGCGGGCTTTGCCACAGCACTGTAGCTTTTGAACAGCTGTCACAAGTTATTGGGCTCAAGGTTTCGAGCCCCGAGCTGGCCCGAAAGCCGCAAGGGCATCCAGTAAGTTGAGGGTGCAGATGGCAAAGCCCTGAGCCGCACCGCAGGCAGTGCCTCTAGCCGTGCTGAGACTTAGCTGAAGGTACCAGGGGCGTCTTCTTGTACCCTGGGAGTCTGTTGTCATAATGCCTGCTTAGTATCGTAGTAGTAGCAGCAGCCGCAGCAGCAGGTGCAGAAGTAGTTGTCGCAGTTGCAAGGCAGTAGTTGTCGGGCGGTGGTTTCGGCCCAGGAGTCAGTAGTTGTCTCAATATTGTTGCAGTAAGTTTTGCAATGGGAGTGCGGGTGGTGATGACAGTGAGGAGTCGTATACGCTGGGTTGAGAATTGGTGGGAGGGAGACGAAGAATCGCCGAGTATCAGCATCTGCTGCTCTACGGTCACAAGCCGACAAATGCCCTCGCCTGCTGCTGTCGCCGAGCACCGTCCTGCCACAGTGGCTTGCAGCGGTCGCTCTGCTTCGGTCTCCTGCGCATCCAGGAACTGGTGCAAAAGCTACTCTGAAGAATTTCGTTGTTTGTCCATGCTTTCAGGACCTGCAGAGCGACTGAACGCAGCAATGGCAAAGCCTAAGCGCCGAAATGTTGGCTGCCCGAACACTGCGACTGAGTCATTAGACCGCATCTCGAAATGTCATCGCAACAAGACAAGACTTTCCGACTTTGCATTGAACTGTGGATGCGACTTTGGGCTCGAGCTTGCGTCGAAACTAGAGATAGTGGTGCTTTCAAGAAGAGCTGCTGGGAGACAGCGTCTCAGTCGGGATCCCGGTGGTTTGCCAGGACATGCACATTCCGACGTAATTATGGTGGGTGAGTTCTGTCCTCTCGTTGTTTGTAGGGGGCTACCGGCTGCCAGGGATTTCTAAACGAACAACACATTAATGAACCAGACATACACTAAGACAATATGCGCGTATTTGCATATGCCTAAGTTGCAAAGCCCAGTAACCCTGCTGTACAACGTATTCAAACTGTGGTACACTTCGTACACCCTGCTTTGGTATGACAGCAGAACAGGGAATGTGCTGCCAGGTAGCGGGTAGACATCATCAGGCCTAACCGGATTCTGTCCATCAAGAGATAGTCTGTTTGCAACATCGTTTGTGCCATGCGGTATCGTGATACAGCGGGGGAGCATTTGGATGCAGTGTTGCCACGCCATGTTCTGTTTCCTACTGCAGTCTTGAATTTGCATGATCTGCTTAGTGGCTTAGTATGTGTTTGTGCGTGCGTGTGTTGTGTGTGGGTTTAAGCTGTGCTTCTCCGACTTATCACTGCGCTTCTTCGACTTATTTGCGTGTCTCTGTCGATTTTGCCACTAAAGCGAAGACCTTTCAAAGTTGTTGCAGGTGTGTATCTAACATGAAGAGCATATGTAACATGTAGACCCCAGAGGGCTTCATTTCTGGAGTAGAGAAGCAGTGCCTTCCGCTGTGGACCAAGGCAGCCGAGCCCGCCCACGCGTTTCACTATGAGCCCCAGCAGCCCTCGTGAAGGATATGCCAAGCCGATCTGAAGTTTTGGAATGTGGGGAGTAGAAACAAGAGAGCTCGAACGGTTGCAATCAATCTTTCGTATCACCCTTGCAGAAATCCCAACCAAACTGAAGAAGCAAGTAGGACTTGACTACAGCCGTCTTGGACATGGATTCCTTCTTCCTCTCTTGTGTTGCTTGCAATCATGCTTTGTTAGTTGCGCGACGATGGTTGTTTGCAGTGTGTCAGTGTAAATGTGGGTTTGGCAGTGCCGTATATTGTTTATAACTTAGAACCGTTTGCAATGGCACAAATGTGCCACGTGCGGGATTATAGGAATTCGCACTGTGTTGAGGCCGATAGAAACAGAGAGCGCACGTCTGGAGCTACAGCTTTGCCACTCCTTTCTTTCGAAGCTTTGCGGTGTGGTTCGTCCTATGTATGTATGTATGTATGTATGTATGTATATATATATATATATGTATGTATGTACGGTGGTGTTGTCGTCGGTGCTTATGCAGTTCATCCTGCTTTGCGGTATGAGATTCAGTCGGTTTGATGCAGTCCGCAATGCGTGGAGAGTTGAAGGAATCGAAATCTGGCTTGTGAGTCTCCTTCATTATCCTGGTTTGCATTGGGTTTGTCGGCAGGACGATTCTCCTGGCCTTTGACCAAAGCAAAAGCAACGCTCGAGGCGGGGTTGCGGCTAGACATCGCCACGACCACAAAGAAAGCTGGGATTAGCATGCTGCAGTCTCAAATTGCATGCTGTCAAACCCTGCACCGCTCCGACAAGAAACCCCAAGTCCCGCCGTCAAGAACAAGTGCAGGCCACAACGAGCCTCAGGAGACTTGCTGCGAGACTTCAAACTGCGTCGACACGATTGTCAGATTCTATGCGTTCTGTTGCTGTGACAGGGCCTGTAGGTACCTACGTAAAGGCACTTATGCTTACAAACATGCGTATGTGCATGCATGCGGGCGTGGATGGCCAAGTCCCTACCTGCCCCCTACCTACCTACCTACCTACCTCCCTGCCTGCCTGCCTGCCTGCCTACCTACCTTCCTCCCTGCCTGCCTACCTACCGACCTACCTGCCTAACCTACCTACCAACCAACCTGCCACCTACCAACCTGCTGACCCACCTAAACGACCCGTACAGACGACCGACCGAGCGACCCACCGACCCACCTACCTACCCACCCACCCCTACCTACCTACCTGCCTGCCTGCCTGCCCTGCCACCTGCCCTACCTACATACCCACCCTCCCTGCCTACCTACCGACCTACCTACTTACGTACCTACCTAACTTCCTACACCCACCTGCCCACCGACCCACCTGCCACCTACCCACCTGCCCACCTACCTACCCACCTACCCACCTACCCACCTACCCACCTACCCACCTACCCAACCCACCCACCCACCGACCCACCTACCCACCCACCCACCCACCCACCCACCCACCCACCCACCCACCCACCTACCCCACCACCCACACCCACCCACCACCCACCACCCACC